AAAATGTAAAAGCAAGAAGGATTGGATAGAGTGAGCTTGACCAGAAGAACTGTCTTGCCAAGACTCTGCTGAAAAACAGGTGGGCGTGGGATAGACAAGGGGAATGTGGACCAAATCGGCCTCCGAGGATGGAGGGCAGCAGGAGGAACAGGTGCTTCCATGAGAGGCTTCAGGTGAGAGATGTGGGTCTCGCAAAGGCCTGACGGTCCGGCCAGCTGCCTACTGGAAGGCAGACCTTGGAGCTCCTTGGAGACCAGCCTCAGCAGGCTGGTACTGGAGCACTAGTTTGGATCTGACAACTAAAATTAGATCAGGACTTAAACTAAGGATGAAGTCGGGAAGGTGCGGATTCTGAAATGTGAAGGAAAATGTGGCCAAATTAGAGTGAGCCCTGAGTGTGCAAAGAGATTGTGTGAAGGGCAGGGAGTGTGTGCTGGAACTAGGTGACAAAAGCTTTTTAGCCTCAAAACATTTATTATTACTTTATCTTAAATACTCTTGTCCGGTTTTGTTTTTCTGACATTAACCAGGAATGTTCTAGGTCTAGTAAACAAAATTTGTTTAAGTGCTTTTCTCTGAATATTACTTTTCTGCATCTATAAATGGAAGAGGGAAGTTATTTCTAGCGTTCTGTGGGACACATTCATCCTTGAACAGCAGAATTATACTTGGTTATATCTTTAAAATGTTGCGAAATCAACTGGAAAATTACAGCACTGTCTTGGAAGATATTTACAAGTCAGTCATATTGTTGCAGTTTATGTGCAGAGACATCAACTTGCATTTATGTAAAAATGAGTTTTGTTCCTTGGTTCTAGCTAAAACACTAAACTCAGTTTGCAAATGCTGTCCCGCAGGAAATGCAGGGCGTGACCTTGTAGAAGCAGCGTCATAGGCAAGTAGGGTGACTTGCGGAGAATTAGTTCAGCTATGGCCTGGCTTCTCTGTGCTCAGGGAATTACAACAGTTTCAAAGACTGAAAGCTTTTGGCATAAACCATGCCTCAAGGAATGAGCCTTGATTGGTGAAGGGAAATTAACTGGGTCATCGGTAAATTCTATCAAGCAGGTCTTATACTGACACTGCTAACCCTGAAAAAAATCCTAAGAGTAATGGACACACATACACACCCGCACAATGCTGGTCACACTAGTAAGCAACTAGATTTAGTTGCCAGTATTTTTTTTTTTTTTTTGAGGCATGTGAATAATTATCTGGTTACCCTTCCCCTCTGTATCCATGACATCTGAATGGAAGGTACATGCCTGCTGTGTCGAAAACCACAAGAAAGTATTATTTATTACAAATTAGTGAACAACCATGACCCCTCCTCTGGGGCAGTATTATCTTTCTTCACAGAGCAATGAAGGTCATGGTGGGGGGGAAGAAAGGCAAAACTCTCACAATGAAGAGAAATTTTACACCTAAAAAGTCCACAAGAAGAAAAATTTTCACTTCTCCCCACTCCGTCCTTCAATCTTTAGTATCAACATTTTAAGTAATTTCTACTGAGTACTATATAGCTGGGCTTGGCTGAGGTATAAACAAATCAGGAAGACAAAGTTCCCAGTCACTAGAATTTTAATACGTTTGCTCATGTCTCATTTCTGAAGATTCCTCGTTTTGCCTTGGGACTTACTAGGGGAAATGCCAGAGCTAAGTAAGTTCTACAAATCAACACAAAAATGGCACATGTCAGCCCCCAGGGCCCTTGTGTAACCCTGGAAACCGCGTGTCATACCTATAATATAATGGTAACGTTACCAGCCTCTTTGAAGAAGTCTGAAGCAAATACTAGGGAATGCCACCCCCCAAAACAAAAACACCCAATTTCTTGAGTGTACGCCTACATTTCAGGATACGGAGTCCTCGAAACTCGTTTCATCAAATATTTACTCCACAGAGAATACTGCGTAGGTATCTAGGCTCAAAATATATTTTCTATTCTGAGGATTTTATCATCTGAGAGGCAGGAGACTATATAGTCTACAAAACTGTATCATTACTAAGAATAAAACTTTGAGCAAAACAAAGACATGGAATCTGTAAAGTATAAAGGCTCTCGTGAAATCTACACTCTCATTTGCTGTTAGCCCCACAATTCGTTTATTACAAATTTGTATGCACATAACACAAGGGGTGAGGGGCAGCTTCTACCGACCCTGCACTTCAGCTACGCAACGAGGAGGCTGCGGTGCCGGGGCCTGTTCGACAGTGTTCGTAAATGCGGATGCGTAGACGGACAAGGAAAAGAGGCTCTCTAAGAAGGAGCCACTGGGCCCCCTCCAATTTATAATTAAAAGGAAGGAAAACAGCTCTCCCTTGGGAGCTCAGAATTTAAAGTCACTACCAGGACCCAGGGCCACTGCTCAGAGACAACAGGTGCGCATGCGCCTCACTGTTGGCGGAAGAGTTTAGCGTCAGAATCGCAGACTTGGAACCTTAGAGCTGGAAGGGGCCGAGCCCATCCAGCCCGCGCTGTCGGGAGGTGGAGGCTGAGGTTCGGTGACATGAAACTGCTCAGCGAAGGTCAGAGCTAGAGACCTGCCCGTCCCGGAACATCTCACAGATGCCAGACAGGCCATCGGGCATCATCCAACGTGACTGTCTCTCAGCTCTCGGACGCCGGGACTGCATCCCATTTTGTGCTTTCGTTTGTCAACTGTGTGCAGTGCAGGGAAAATGGCGCCTGAGCTGTCTGTGTGGCTCTGCAGACCCTTCCTTCTTTGAAGGCCTCGAGCACGTCCCTGTGTTCCCAGCTGGGTTCTGTGTGCTCCACAAGAAAAACAATGGTGGTGATGGCTTAGAAATGCCACTTCCTGTCAGTCTAGGTTCACCAGTGAATATTCATTATATTATTCTTTCAACTTTTCTGCCAGTTTAAAATTAGAAAACAGGAAAAAGTACTGAGGGTAGGTGGTATCTAGTCTTGCCATATCAGATATTAAAATGCATTGTGAAATTATAATATTAAAACAGCATTAAACAACATAGCAAGACCCCATCTCTACCAAAAATTAAAAAATTAGCTGGGCGTGGACAGACACCTGTAGTCCCAGCTACTCAGGAGGCTGAGGCAGGAGAATCACTTGAGCCCAGGAGTTTGAGGTTGCAAGTCAGCTATGATCACATCACTGTATCCCACCCTGGGCGACAGAGCAAGACCCTATCTCAAGAAAAAAACAAAACAAAACCATGAAATGATACGGAAAGAAAGATCAGTGGATTAGGCCAGGCATGGTGGTGTATGCCTGTAGTCTCAGCTACTCGGGAGACTGAGGCAGAAGGATGGCTTGAGCCCAGGAGTTTGAGGTTGCTGTGAGCTAGGATGATGCCATGACACTCTAGCCCAGGCAACAGAGTGAGACTCTGTCTCTAAAAAAAAAAAAAAAAAAAAAAGGTTCCTAAGTTACAGAACATATTTCTTGATTTGCATCCTCTAATGAATTGCTCTAGAAATGGTTGAAGGCCTCAGTAAAACCCTGATCATCAGAAGGTATTATCAGGACGACCTTCTTTCACGGGCCAGGCCCAGCAAAGGCTCAAGAACAGCTGCCCACTCCCAGCTCGCTGCTTCCATTCCTCCGGGCTCCCACACTCACCTTTATGTCCTGGAGCCGGATGTCTCTACTCCACCTTCCTAATGGGGAAATAAAGACAGCAGTTCTGAGGATGGCAGAAATGGGACCCACAGGTTGCCCTTTGAAAAGGCAGACGCTTCCTTGGACCTTTTCTCTTGGTTCTGTTTTCCGATTTGTCTTTCCAGCTCAGCGGAAATGAACAATCTGGATTTTTTTTTTTTTTTGGTTATTAGAAAATACTAAAAGCTACTAATTTTTTCGTAAGTCTGAATTTTTAAAAACTTTTTCTCCATTTAGCCTGGAATGTTCATGCTGCTCTGTCACCCAGTTGTTTAATATCTTGCATTTTATTCTGGTTTCTAAGAAATTTATACAATAGTATCTGATTAAAATCCAAGATTAGAATCAGATAAAATGTAGCTGAGATAGGCTACAGTAAGCAGGATCGGTTTTAATCTTACAAATCTACGAAGGCTGGTTTTTGGTTTTTTTTTTAAACTCTGTCACCCTGGGCTAGAGTGCAGTGGCGTCATCGTGTTAATAGCTCACTGCAACCTCAAACTCTTGGGCTCAAGCGATCCTCCTGCCTCAGCCTCCTGAGTAGCTGGGACTACTACGCCCGGCTAATTTTTCTGCTTTTTTGTAGAGACGGGGTCTCGCTCTTACTCAGGCTGGTCTCGAACTCCTGGCCTCAAGCGATTCTCTCACTGTGCCCCACCTGAAGGCTGTTTGTGGCATCTAAAAAACGCCTCGTGAGGGTTGGAGGAATTCGGGGAACAGGCTAGAGGCCTGCATGGTATCCCAGCCCCGGCGGCGACGCCCTCAAACCCCGGCTCTCAGTCTCAAACCACCCGCCTGGGTCTGTGCCCCACATTCCATTTCTAGCTTCTTCCGTCCTTTCTCCCATGAGAACATCTATGGTGTGCAAAGTATGACACTAAGCACTTTTGATGTTACTCAAATTGCTTCATTTCCTAAAGGCCCACAGAAATTCAGCAGCATTTTGAGTTTTTTCTCTTTGGAAATGAAGGTAAAGGCTGTATAGCCATTTTTGTATCTCTGGCCAATGTCTGGCATTGGGCTCAGCAAGTGTCTGCGGAGTAAGTGATCTCTGTGGTCCGCTGCCAAAGCCTTAACGTCCAACACGTTTACTAGGCTAGGAAAAACAAATGTTGGTTAAAACCTTGTTACGAAAATTGGAGTCCTGCCAGTGTTGATGTAATAAAAAGAAAGACACCTAAACTGTGTCTGCATCAAGGAAACCAGTTATCGGTCGAGGTGAATCTGCTGAGCGTGCAGAAAGGGAGACTTCGGTCTCTGACGACGACATGCAGGGGACGCCCTAACCTGGCACACAACGGGAAACCCACGTCTCATCGGGGCAGGCCCCAGATAATGTCTTGTTGTGACGGAAACGGTCAGGGTAGGAACAGGAACAACACGCGGACCTAGATCGAATGAGTTTTTATGTTTGCAACTCACATTGCGCGCGCTGAGTAAACCGTCACGAGGGCGTGGGGAACACAGAGCTGCTTAACACTATTCTCTCCACGTCTGTACTCCGGCAGCTAAACTATATCCACTTTAATTAAAAAAAACAAACAAAATAAAAACAATTCTCGATGCAGAGTTCTTTAAAGAATCCTAATGACTCAAATGTTCCAGCTTCGGGCATCGCCGCGAGTTAGTTTGCGTCATTTTGCACGGGGAGACCGCGCCAGGGGAAAGAGCAGGCCAACGGCAGGCTTCGCGCCAGCCGGGCCACCGACGCCCGCAGCGGGGAGCTTCCGGCCGCGGGCGCACGGCGCGACTCTGGCTGTGGGTGTCGTGTCCTCGGGTGTAGTGTCCCCGCCCCGCACGGCGGCCGGCGGGAGGGAGGCGGCGCTCACAGCTTGAGCTCGCGGCCCGGCTGCATGCTGAAGGGCTCCAGGCGCTCGCTCTCGGGCAGCGCGCTGTTGAGCCGCTCCACGAGCGGCACGGTCTGGTCGATGCCCATCTGTATGCGCCGCAGGATGGCCGACATCTCGTTCACTTTCTGCATCTGCTCGGCGTACTTGGCGTACCTTTTCTGGCGCTCCTGCATGAAGCTGAAGAGGGTTTCCACAGACAGGTCCATCTGTGGAAGGGAAAAAGACGTAAAATACATTGAACTTTGTCTGCCCCGCCCCTCTCAACAGGGTCAGGCGTCCAGCAGGTGAGGGACAGAGACCCGCAGGCCACGTGGAAGCTGACACGTCTTGCGGGAAGTACAGGGACGATAAAAGGCCCTGCACAGGCGCAGCTAGAGCAACCGCGGCACCAGAACCGTCTCTGGGAGGGGACGAAGAGAGGACTGTCCCAGCCTCTCGGCTTTGGGAACGTGAGCTATTTATAGCTTTTGCGACCCTGAGATTTCCATCTGTCTCTGCGCACGAAAGAATCCTGGGCGTGGAGACCAGACAGACCAGGGTTTGAATCTGGCTCTGCCCCGTGACGTCGAATGCTTGGCCTGTGTGTCTCAGCGTCCTCATCTGCGAAACACTGGAAACCAATCGCAGAGTTGCAGGGCCGCGCAGGGCACTGACTGAGCCAACACACGCCAACTCACGGACCCAGGGCTGCCACGTGCGGAGGCGCTTCGGGCCGGCTCCTGCATTCCCTCCGTCCCTTCCCCGAGAGGCCGCACTTTAGCGGACGTGGGGAACACGGCAGGGGAAGGGGTGGCTCTCCCCGCCAGGGCCAAAAATGCCAGCCAAGGCTCCAGTCCATACAGTGGCACGTACCACTGCGGGTCAGCTGTGCCGACTGCCTCCTGCGCCCGTTCCGCCATGAAGCAAACTGCAGGCTCCGGCCTCCCCTTTTGTGACCTCTTTTCTTCCCCAGGTAAAGCTCTTCAGAACCCATCACCTGGATAAAATAGGGGGAGGGAAGCTTCGTCGTGTCGGACGCCTGTAGCCCCTCCTCGGCACAGACCCCACGTCCCCCGGTGTTTCCTTCCCACACCAGGGAGGCTACAGCTCAACCACCAACTCACGTTTCTGTCCCAGATTCCCAAGGCCCCTTCCCGGCCCCCGCGTAAGGCCAAAGGCTCATACGTGTTGCCGCAGAGCCTTCGAGACTGTTTTTTTTTTTTCAGCATATTATGGGGGTACAGATATTTAGGTTACATATGTTGCCCTTACCCCCCGCCCCCAAGTCTAGAGCTTTAAGCGTGTCCATCCCCCAGATGGTGTGCACTGTACTTGAGACTGGTTTTGATAAAAACAAAAGCACAGGAGACCCAAGCCAGCCCCAAGAATAAATACTGAGTCTATTTTGATACTGTGGTGAGGAGGGGACAAGAAAAGGGGGAGACCCCAGGATGACATCAGACCAATGTTGGTGCGCTTGGTCCTTTGCTGGCTCCTCCCTCCCTTGTTTCAAAGGCCTAGGGGACAAAAGCAGCAGCTGGTGGGAAGGGGGCACGGGGAGAGAAAAGCCCATCTGAGCGGGAAACTCCAAATAATGCAGAAACAACATGCAGCTGCGGGGCTTTCTGCCGCCGTGTTCAGTCTTCGGCCCCTCGGAGGCGCGAGCCAGCAGATCAGGCGCTCCCGACAGTCAAGCGCCAGGCCTCTTCCGAGTGGCGACGTGCTCAGCACCCAGAGACCCTCCAGCCGGCAGACGGGGCTGCGGGAGCGGTGGAATCCTCGCTGAGCCGCCTGCTCCAGCGTTCAGAACATCCTCAGGCCTCACGTTTCACATGGCAGGGCCATTCCCGGCCCTCCGCTCCCCAACTCCGCCAGACTAGACAGACCCTGGGGCAGTTCGCAGGAAATGGCCTCCAAGGCGCCAAGCTACCTGTCTAAAGCCCTTGGCAATCAGCCCATCCCCCAACTTACACCGGATCAGTTTTCGCAACATCTTTGCAAGGTATTTGTTCAAATAGCATATAGTCCCCCACAGTTCCACATTCAGCTGGGGGCCCATGTTTTTTAATGTCTCCAGAGCTTTTGTCCAAAGCCACTTTATGTTTAATGCTTAGGTGAACATGTCATTCAAGCATGTTGTTCACACATGCTTGTATCAGTCTCTCAAGATTCTCTTCCATTACACTCCACGGAAGAAAGAAAAGGACAGAGGAAACTTTAGGTTGCGTGACTTCCAAGATCTCAAAGTGACAGAACCTAGACGCACCCCCCTCCCCAAATCTCTTAAGTCCAGCATCTCCTTTTTACACGTATTTCCTAAGCAGGAGACTTTATCATTGGGGGGACATGAGCCTTTAGTTGGTACGTAGCATGGCACTAAAGAATACTGAGTCACACGATGGGAAAGTGACTATTTAAAAAATTTTTTCCCATTCTTTGATTGCTGTAAAGAAAGTCTCAATTTGGTGCAAAGCAAGAATTTAATACCTGGAAACATCTAATAAAACTAGTGATGCCTATTTTTGATGTCCTTGCCCTCTGGTCTCGAGGCAACACTCCCTGATCCATAATCCCTACCTTTGCTCCGTGAACACCAGGTACACTCTTATTCTAACACATCTGACGTAACTTCAGGCAGCAAATCAGCGCCTGACGCAATTCTGAATCACTGTTTTGACAATCTAGGAACATACCCGTATTTGCCTTTTCTATTTCCATTTTTAGCACATAAGATTCTACCAAGACAGCATATACACTAATTGTATTCTTCTTGATAAACAAGGTATTATGACACTACCAAAGGTCCCCTCACTGAATACTTCAGAGCCATTCAGAAGACACAGCTGAAGGGGCAATCTACCCACCCAAGCTGCAGCTAACAGGCAACCAGGGAGCTAGTGGGGAAACGGATAGTTACAATTTTTGTTTACCACGCTCATCAGTCCGCTCGTCTACCAATCAAACAGTGGTTAAGGGGGCAGGTTCTACAGTCTGACTACCTAGGTTTAAGGGCCACCCTCTCTCCAGTATCTGTGTGATTTTAGAAAATGACCTAGATGGGGGCTTCTACGAGGACAAGGATTTTGTTATGTTTTAGACCCTGCCCACTGCAGTACCTAGCACATAGTAGGTCCTGAATACATATTTGTTGAATAAATGAATGAAAATTTATCTAAGCCTCAGTTTCCTCATCTATGAAGTAGTGGGTGACAACGGTGGCTACTTTATAGTACCGTCCTGAGGATTAACTGAAATACTTCCTGTAGAACACTTACTACATTGCCCAGCACACAGCGGACACTTGCCAAGTGTGAGCTGTTAATATACAGTCAACAGACATGTGCTGAGCACTGTCATGTGCCATGTACCATGCTAGGTCTTAAGGACATAAATGTGGAGAACCAAAACCGTTTATACCCACATAGCTTACTGTGTACCTGAACATGAGTTTTCTTTTCTACTGTCTTTATTAACATGACTTTACTATTCCAGGAAACTCAGGCCCAGAAAGATACAAGTTGCAAAAAGCTTTGTTTCAGGAACTTCCCAAGAAACCCATTTAAATGAACAAACTATTTGATTTTCCAACAGAAAGCAAACAACTGTTTATTCTCCACGACGCCTGCCTCAAAACCCTTGCTTTGCTGTGACCACATGACTAATCACTGAAGTCTCTCATGGCTGCTTCTGAGTATTTTCCTGAAAGTCAGCTGGCGGGCACTCTTTCTTCCTCTTCTTCCTCATCCCTCACTCTACTCTGCTGCAGTTGAAATGTGAGTGCAGCCCATGTAGACTGAGAATAACTAAGTCACCTCTTCGGGTTGGGAGGGCAGGAGAGCTAGAAGCAGCCTGGGTCCAGGAGGATGTTTGTGGGTAAGAGCAGGACCAGGCCCGAGAGAGAAGAATAAACATTCACTTTCTATAAGCCACTGTGATTTGGGGTTTCTGCAACACTAGTTGAATGTAATCTTATACTGGTAGAACTGAATGAGATAAAGCCTCTGCCCTCAAAGAACTCATCATTCACTCAAACTCACACTTCAAACCTTGCCCTACATATTCATATACTATCTCTGGAGGCAGTACCTTTCAAAGAGCAGGTGAAAAAGGAGGAGGGATTATTTGTGGGTATAACTGCAGGATTTACTAAGGTATTAGATAGCTGCAGAATGTGCTCAAACTTGTTCTAAATACCTCATCTGGATGGTGTGGACCCATTTGCCCACCTGGCTGATCCTCTCCGTAGATGGACCCAAAATATTAGCAAGTCAAATCCAGAAACATACAAAAAGGATACTATGACATGACTAAGTGATGCTTATGTTAAGGAGACAAGCTTTTCAACATCTGAAAATCAACCAAAGTAATTCACCATTTCAAACAGAATAAAGGTTAGAAATCATATGATTATCCCAATAGATACAGAGAAAGCATTCAACAAATTCAACATGTGTCCACTATGAAAACTTTCAGCAACCTAAGAACAGAAGGAAACATCCTCAACCTGATAAAAGGCGTCTATGAAAAATCTACAGCTAACATCATAGTTACTGGTGAAAAGAACAAGGCAAGGATGTTGACTCTTACCACTTCTATTCAACATTGTACTAGAGGTCCTAGCCAGTGTGATAAATCAATAAAATGAAATAAAAGGCATAAAAATCAGAAATAAATAAATAAGACTTTTTCTGCAGATGACATAATAATAGTTTACTTAGAAAATCTTAAGGAATCTACCAAAAACTAGTAAAACAAGTGAATTTTAGCAAGGTTGCAAGACACATGGTCAATATACAAAAATCAACTGTATTTCTATACAACAATGAATAATTGGACAGTGGAATAAAAGAATACTATTTACAATAGCATCAGCAATGTGAAATACTTAGGGAAAAGTTCAACAAAATATGCACAAGACCTATACACTGATATTACAAAACACTGCTGTGAAAAATAATAGGAGATCTCAAAAAATGGAGAACTATACTATGTTCCTGGATTGGAAGATTCAACACTGTTAAGATGTCAATGCTTGCCAAATTGATCAACAGATTTAACTGTAATCCAAATCAAAATTCTAAAAGACATTTTTATAAGAATTGATAAGCTGATTCTAAGTACACAGAATGGCTAAAAGAATTTTGAAAAAGAACAAAGTTTGAAGACTTATAGTACTTGGTTTCAAGACTTAACTATAAAGCTATAGGAATCAGAATAGTGTAGTGCT